GTTTGACTTTCCCTATCTCCCCATCCTTTCCTTAAAGTGTTCTTTTGCTTCTGATGTCTCTCTCTGGAGGATACCAACGTTGCCTCCACTACCGATCTCAACCCTGGATCAAAAGAAATTGTTGCTCTCTTCTGATCTTGCAATGTAAACAAAAGTTTACCGCCCCACTATGGAAAGCGCCTGGGAGGGTTGGGAACAAAGTCAGGGTAGGGGAGGACTTTAAGACAACACGCAGAGCCGTTAAGTTGTCAGTAAGTGCTGTTCAATGATTTATCTACCCCCTCTGAAGGATGTACTTTAAGAAACAGAGTGGAAAAATTCTCCAAAATCTAGAAGAGTGAAATAAACCTCTGGAACATGTCATCTAACTCTTCTGTCTTTATTAATTGGAAGAAAAAAAAAAGAGCATTCGAGCAGTAAGAAAGCTGGGTGAAAGTTTAGAAGACAATGACCCTTGTCCACCAGCAGAGGGAGAGCTTGGGAGGCAGCCTAGGGCTCAGTTACAGAGTTTGGCTCCTGGAGCAGTTTCTGGCCGGGGTTGTGTTTGGAGACTAGGCGATTTTTCTTACTGTGGCGGTTTTCAGGCCACTTGTGAGGACACGGACGACAATTCAGGGACTCATTCAGGTACAAACAAAGATAATGTGTGTCTGAGCAGGAATTGGCAGTAAATGAACCGAAATAAGTGCAGGACAGAGAGGGAGCTTCCGCCTTGATTCTCAAAGTGTGGGCTGTGAACCAGCCGCACAGGCTTCATCTGGGAGCTTGTTAGAAATGCAGATGCTCAGGCACCATCCTCGACCTGCTGACTCTGGATTTTAAAAAGATCCCGAGGTAATTCTTCACAAAATAATACCTTGAGAAGCTGCTCTCCTGCCAAGATTGGGGTTTGACCTAACCTATTTCTCCTGGAGTCAGCACTCCCTTCCTACATAAAAAGCTGTCAAGCAGCCATTCCATTTGGAAGTGGCCTGTACCACTGATTCTTTTTTTTTTATTATTAATAGATTTTAAGTTTTAGGTTTATGGGAAAATTGAGCAGATAGTACAGAAAGTTACCATATAATTCCCCTCCCCTGGTTTCCCCTATGATGTCTTTAGGGTGGTACATTTGTTACAATTAATGAAACAATACTGAAGCATTAACTGAAGTCCATAGTTGACACTAAAGTTCATCCTTTGTGTTGTACATTCTATGGGTTTTGACAGTTGCATCATGTCATGGGCTACCATTATTGCATAATACGTAATACTTTCACCCCTCTGAAAATCTCCTGTGCTCTTCCTATCCATTCCTCCCTCTCTCTCCTCCCTAACCCTGGCAACTACTGATCATTTTTTTTTACTGTTTCTATAGAATTGCCTTTCCCAGAATATCATAGTGTTGAACTCATCCAGTGTGTAGCCTTTTCAGGCTGGCTTCTTTCACTTAGCAATATGCGTTTAAGTTTCTTCCATGTCCTTTCATGGCTTCAGAGGTCATTTCTTCCACTGATGCTTTTAACACCTAAAAGTTTTTGAAATGTTTGAGTGAAATACCATTCAATCATTTTTCAAAACGCTTTTATATATTTCTTTAGAAAGTCCCTTGGAGTAGCTCTGCCTTTTTTCCCTGGACCATGGTTAGCCTCTAACACAGCGGTCCCCAACATTTTTGGCACCAGGGCTGCTTTTGTGGAAGACAGTTTTTCCACGGACACATGGGGTGGAGCGGGGGGGATGGTTTAGGCGGTAATACGAGCGACGGGGAGCCATGGGGGGCGATGGGGAGCCATGGAGGACTATGGGGAGCCATGGGGGGCGATGGGGAGAGGCAGATGAAGTTTCGCTCGCTCACCCGCCACTCACCTCCTGCTGCGTGGCCCGGTTCCTAAGAGGTTGAGGACCCGTACCAGTTTGCGTCCTTGGGGCTGGGGACCCCTGCTCTAACATCCCATGGAGGGGAGAACAGAGAACTCTGTCCTTGTCTGGATGAGTCACAGAGACTTGGGGACAACTCCATGTCCCCAGCACTCCCCTGCTGGCTCCCTGGAATTCTGCCACTGCAGTGCTGGGCTCTTCATGGCCTTTGGGTATTCAGGGGACCCTTATTAGAGCACAGGTGCCCTTGGGAGGGCATTGAGATATGTAAGAACATTTCAGCAGCGGGTGCACTGTGCCATCGCTCTAAACCCTGTGGGGAAGAAATGGAGGCCCACAGAGGTTAACTTGCCCCAAATCACTGAGGACTAGTTAGTGACAGTCCTGAGCCAGCTGCGTGTAACTCCAAAGCCTGGTGACTTCACCCTAGTGGAGGGTGCCAGAGCCTTCAGAATGGGACTCAGGCCAGATGCCTGGTGGGCCAAGTGGAGCCAGGAGAGGAGGGTGGGGTAGTAGGAAAAGAAGTGGACGGTGTCAGAGGCCATTTAGTTTTATTTTGCGGAAACTTGCTTTCGCTGCCTCTGGGGATCTAGTTGGGATCAGCAGTCACTCCAGCTGAGAGCAGCCCACCAGGATGAGGGTGTCAGCTGACTTGTGATGATGGCTTTGCCTGGAGAATTCCAGCAGGTAGAGCAGTAGGAGGCGTTTTCCCTGCTCTCCTCTGCCCCCCACTTTAGTTTTCTTCTGATTAAGTCAGGACACGGGTTAGGCCATATTACCAGTGGGCAAGGTCCTGCCATTCAGGAACTTTCGACGGTTCAGAGTACCAGCTTTCTTGTTCTCTCTGGGTGCCTCAGTTGCCTCATTTTAAATGAGGATGACAAGAGTTTCTGCCTCATAGGACGGCTGCCGAGGATTAAATGAGTTAATACATGGCCCATTTCAAGCACTGAATAAATGTGAGCTAATGTTATTTAATGTGGGCCTGGCAAGATTCATTTTCATCCCTTTGCACTTCGTAAAAGCCCCTGTTGGTCAGATTTGAATTTAGAAAGAGTCAGAGGCCCCACCCGTGCTTTTAGCCTAAGTCGTACACTCCAGCGCGTCTACCAGCCTCACTGCACTGGGAGGGAAGGCCCGGCTAACAACAGAGCCACAGGCCTATTTCCCATTTGCTCTCACTCCTGAGCTTTATCCCCTTGGGGAACCTC